GACAATTCCGATTTTTATGTTTAGTTGAAGTTATTGTGGGGTTATCTTGATTGAATTAGATCATGTTCGGTGTTCATAGTCTGTAGGTAGAATTCCGTGAAGCTAGTTTTCGTGGTGTCTAACACCATTGACCCAGTCTGATCAAATTTCATATTGACCAACTTTGCACAACGAAAAATAACTTTAGCCTTACTCGAAACACAACTGACTTCTCGTAGGATAGAAGTGCTCATATTAATTGTTCAAAGCACAGTTATGGATGTAATGAATGTCTACTAATTGAGTACCTATGGAATTCCCTCATTCACGTGTTCCACCAACACTATTTATGAATAATCAGCAATTCTTCATTTTTTGGTGAAAATGACGTGTAGGGACAGTTTCAGATGGACATTTTCATTTAAAAATATTCGTGGGTTTCACACAACTCTTGTCACTTCGAACAGAACTGAAATGAATTTCTCCGTAATGTAGCCTTCGTAGTTTTAATGTTGGATCTATTTTCGTACTACTATTGTAGTTTTGTCCTTGTTGCTCCATTCAGATCCGAATGTTCACTGGAATGTCAGTTGATTGATCTGCTGATGGATCAGTCTGTTTGTGGTTGGACATTGAGTTAAATTATTCACTGCGAAGGAGTAGTCTGAAATAAAGCGCCTGGCGGTAGGTGTGAACTGTGTGTTACAATCGCAAGTTATTCAATGTAAAGTATTTAGATATCATTGATTTGTATTGTGTAACTCATAAATAGCATTAGGATTAACACATATAGCATAATGAGTCGACGGTCTAAAAAACGAACCGAAGAGGCCTTTATCCTTCAGATAATGTCAAGTCTGTTATTGTCTATACTCCATGCTGTGCAACCACTTTGAATAAGACAATTTTAGATATGGATTTACTCCACACCTGCTTCTAGATGACTCAGTGAGTGAGACAATACCTATGTATATATATATATAATGGCTTATTAAGCAATTAGTGAGGTTGGACGCAGGTTATTAGGGAATGATAGTAATTCAGTTGATGAGGTTATGAATCTTCATCGAGTGAGATGGTTAGTCCACGTGTTGTGTATGCATGGACACTACCACGACTCGCAATACTAACTGGTGTCAGGGATAATTGGAAGAAAGTTAGAGGCGGCCAAACCAAAACGTGGCATCAGTGCTTGAAGTTACTAATTTCTGGTCTAAGCCATGTTAGTAGATGTAGACTACTTGGTTGGGGTCTGCGTGACTATCGTAACCAGTGGTTGTAGACTCTTGGTGACATGACTCAGAGTCAACCACAATGGCGTACGTAGGTGAATACACTCTCTGTCTTTCTCTAAACTAAGAGATGAAAATCGCCTCATATCTTTCCTTCTACGAACTAATTGTTTCTTCCTGTGCTATATCCCTTTGTGCAATCATTTTTTTATGCATTACTACCAATGAATTAACTACTTTGAATTCGGTGTTGATCTTGCTGTGCTAATGCGGTATGGCAACTTCGACCGATTCATATATGTGCCTGGTCCTACGTTGCAGCTGACTGACTGACTGAAATCGCTTCTGCTTCTAGTCTATTTGGACAAAATTTAATTTACTTAGATTCAAACATACAATCACTTGGCTTTCTTCCCAGACTCGTGTAATTTTGAGAACGTTACGATCTAGCGCCATGCTGTTTACTTTTATAATGCAGTAAAACCCACTACTTCACATTATCCTGACCTCATAATACAGTTTGTATCCACCAAATGCTGTGTTTAAAACTCATGATGTTTTTTATACTGCATTATTTCTATCAAATTATTGGCCCTCAACTATTAAGTGCTACGAAATATTACAGACACCTTTTCTTTGTCATTAAGCTTTACTCGCTCTCTTAATGGTTATTCAGTAATTGTGGTGTACTTTTTGATCACAAACACTTAATACAAAGTGTTTTTATCCTTGTCCTGGGTTTTTTTTACCGATAAATAACCTTACAGAGCTTAGTCATCTGTTTTAGATATTCATAAAGTGAATACCAGATATTTTCTCGACTGATAACATTATTCATATATATTACAAGTTAATCAGTTTGTTTTCAGTCGTTCAAATAGATTCAACATTAGTTGTCCCATTTCTTTGAGTCATATCCCAAGCACCTTCATTGGTTATTAAACGGATTTCACAAAATGGACAGCTTGTCGACCAAAAAACTGAATATAGCGATAATTGTAACCATCTGGGATTCATCGATGGACCATGTCGACATTTATTATACAATTCATGTATCAACATAAGTAACTTGATCTACGTAGCTACCTTATAAGTTCACCTAACTTTGATCGAATATTCAGTTATGAATTGTCAGTCAAATTAAGCTTATTCTAGTGTGATGTTTGTTCGTTACACCCGGTACGACTACTAAACTAAAATCTTTGTTTTAAAAAAACAGCAAGTCGGTGAATATTTGGCCTATACTACAGAATTATGCAGGTAGGCACAACAGAAGCTCCAGTCCTATACTTTCGCTTGTCCATTACTATCGTTCAGTTCAGCTCATTTTAGAAGCAAGTTGAGAACTCTGAGGGATACTATAACGTCAACACTTACGAGAAATTATCTCTTATAACCTTACAGTTATACCCGGAAAGTCGTAGTACATATATCGCTGTTTTCTAGTAGTCCCTCACTAGTCTGTTAGTGTTAGCAATTGGAAGTCATGTGGATTCATGCGATCACTACCAAGTCTATTGTGTCATTTGTGATCTCTTATCATAAAGTAAAACAATTTTTCATTGATATATAGTGTTATTGTCTATCAACAAGTTGAGAAAGCTTTATTATAGCTTCCAACCTTGAGGGTTCGTCATTTATTTTGGGTCATATATTATCCATTAGATGTAAATAATGAAGACGATTATTTCGTCAAATTATTTCCAAAAGCTGTGCCAATGATGTAGTAGTGACTGACTAAGAACTGTCTTGACACTTGTATTGAAAATTCTGATTTTGGTGTTGGTTGACAATTGTTTTGAGTTCCAGATGTTTTTCAGTTGTAAATATGCTACTCTTGCTTTTCTCATCTGCACCTTCACATCTGTTGATCGAGTTCCATATCTTCTTCATTTGTAGGAATGCGGCCCTTGCTCTGCTAATCCTCGCCATTACATCTGCATCCGATGCTCCTTGTTCATCGATGATGCTTCCCAGGTACGTGAAGAATTCCACGTCTTGCAGAGTTTCACCATTAAGTGTGATTGGGTTAGTGTTCTCGGTGTTGTATTTGAGGATCTTGATTTTTCCTTTGTGTATGTTGAGGCCCACTGATGCAGAGGCTGCTGCTACACTAGTTGTCGTCATCTACATTTTTTCGTGTGTATGGGATAGGAGGGCTAGGTCATCTACGAAGTCGAAATCGTCTAATTGGTTCTGAGCTGTCCATTGTATTCCGTGTTTCCTTTCAGATGTCGAGGTCTTCATAATCCAGTCGATCACTAGAAAAAAGAGGAAGGGGGAGAGTAGACAGCCTTGTCTGACTCCGGTCCTTACTTGGAATGCATCTATCAGCTGTCCTCCATGAACGACTTTGCACTGTAGTCCATCGTATGAGTTCCGGATAATGTTGACAATCTTCTCAGGAACTCTTTAGTGTCGAAGAAGTTTCCATAACGTCCTCCTATCTACACTGTCAAACGCCTTCTCGAAGTCAATGAAGTTGATGTATAATGATGAGTTCCACTCAACTGATTGTTCGACGATGATCCGTAGTGTCGCGATTTGGTCTGTGCACGAACGATCCTTACGGAATCCAGCTTGTTGATCTGGGAGTTGGGCGCCTACGGAGTCCTTCATTCTGTTTAACAACACCCTGTTGAAGACTCTTCCTGATACTGACAGTAGTGTGATGCCTCTGTAGTTTTCGCATTTGCTCTGATCTCCTTTCTTTGGAATCCTGATGAGGTGTTCTTCTTTCCAGTCCGTCGGCACTTGTTCTTCCTCCCAAATCTTCTTGAATAGAAGGTAAAGCCTGTTAGTAGTTACTTTGATGTCTGACTTCAGTGCTTTAGCTGGTATATTGTCAGGTCCTGCTGCTTTCCCGCTCTTGATTTGTCTGATGGCCATCCTGATTTCTTCGGTCGTTGGTGGATCGACATCTGCAGGAAGGTCTGTGTGTTCTGCTTCGATGTCCAGTGGATTCAATGGAGCTGGTCTATTGAAGAGTTCCTCGAAGTATTCTACCCATCTGTTCCTGTGTTCTTGAATTTCAGTGATTGGCCTTCCTTCTTTGTCCTTGACCGGTCTCTCTGGTTTACTATATTTTCCTGCTAGTGTCTTCGTTGTATCATATAGTTGCTTTGTATTTCCTTCTCTTGCAGCTTTCTCCGCCGTCGTTGCGAGTTCTCCCACGTATTTCTGTTTGTCCGTTTCAATGCTCTTCTTCACTAGGTTGCTGGCTTCAATGTATTCAGCTTGTGCTTTGATTTCCTGTGCTCGTGTTCGGCTGTTGTTAATTGCTGTCTTCTTGTTCCCCCGTTCTTTGGTCTTGTCCAGTGTTTCTATAGAGATCCTTTCCTTGTGATGATGCTTTTTGCGGCCCAGAACCTCCTGACACGTTGAAGTTAATGCTTCTTTGATGATACCTTTCCAGTTATCATCCATAGTAGTTTCTTCTTCCTTCAGTAGATCCTGTAAGGCTTGGAAGCTGTTGTTGAGAGCTATCTTGCATTGGTTGAGTTTGTTAGTATCTCGAAGGAAGGCTGTATTGAACATTTGTGGCGCTGTTTGTCCAGTTGTCCAGTGTTTCTTAAGCTTCAGTTTTATCTTGGCCACCACCAGGTGATGATCTGAAGCTATGTCAGCTCCTTTCCTGATTCTCACATCCTCTATTTGGTTCTCTGTGATGTGGTCTGATGAGATCCATGTAGCTTTGTGTATACGTTTGTGTGGAAGTATTGTTGAATGCACATAGATTTGCAAATCATTCCTCATTTTCGTTCCTCCCAGTCCATGTCGTCCCATGATATCTTCATATCCAGTGTTGTCCATTCCGACTTTGGCGTTTAGATCTATCAGAATAGTGAGGTCCTTTCTTGAGCACTTCGCGATGATTGATTGCAGGCAATCTTAGAACTTTTCTTTATCGTCGTCATTGCTATCATTGGTGGATGCATAACATTGGATAACATTCATTGTAATTCCCTCCTTTTTTGTTTTGAATGATGCTTTGGTGATTCTGGATCCGTGAGATTCCCATCCTACAAGTGCATTTCGTGCTTGCTTGGACAGCATTAGAGCAACTCCCTGAGTGTGTGGAGCATTTTCCTCTTTGTTACCGGAGTATAGCAGCATCTCCCCCGTATCTAGCCTTTTCTGTGCAGCTTGGATCCGATGAGATTCGTTGATTCCGAGTACTTCCAAGTTGTATCTTCTCATTTCCGTTGCTATATGTCTGGTACTCCCGGTTTTTCACATTTTCCGGACGTTCCATGTACCTATAAAAATTGCTGCTCTGGTTGTTAGAAGGGGCATCGGCCTCGTGGCTTCCGAAGGAACAGGGCTCTCACCATGAGGCGTCATAACTCTTCTAAATGAAGCTCTTCTAACTCCCAGGGCAGAATTTAAATGGTTTGAATTAATTTTTCTGGTTGGTGTTTATTTAGTGAGTTAGTTTTCTACGGGATGTGGTCGCTAACTCCATGCCAGACCCTTCTTCTTTGCCCGGACTTGGGACCGGCAGTAACTCTAGAAGCGCTAAGGGCGGAGTTGCATAACTCAAAACATTTACGACAACGCGTTACATATTTCGATGTACAAAGTTTGTGTTCGACCACTCCTAGAATACCGCATAAAACATAAATTAAGGTAGGAATCAGTATAGAAACGTCTTACACTTCGGACTCTTAAAACTGATTGTACCTTCAATTGTAATTCCAGGTGAAATGAACTTGGGTTCGACCCTTTATGGAAGAGGAAACTCAAACTAAATCTAACCGTTTTCTTCAAAATCCCCGATAAACTATCCTAATTTGAATAATATCTATGGTGAACAGTATATCACCGAGTCACATGATGCATGCATTATGGTAGACCTGACTGACATGTTTTAGTAAATATTGCTTTGTTGTTCCGTGTTCTCTGGTTCTTCCTTGTTTTCTCTAGTTATAGTTGGTTACAATAAAATTCGTTATGGTTCAAGAAACGACCTTAAATACTCCGTTCACAAATCAACAGAATGTCAACTTAGAAAGAATTAGAAGTTCCGGGCGGATGCATTTCATTGCTGTAATGCATGTCATAAATGTACTGCCTAAACCATTTGTGAACTAGTAAACTTAAAACAATCTTATATCACATGTTTGTTCTCTACATTTAATGTTACAATTTAGATGAAGTTGATCATACCTGTAAACTTCTGGCATGAATTGTGTAATTATTATCTCCAGAATGTATGTGAATTAATTACAAAGGGAGTTCTTAATCTGAGGTGATGTAATTTCTTTCCGATTATTTGGCCGGGAACAACTCGTAAGGTTGTGTTATCGAGACATATATGAACCTGATGCTTCCTTGTCGCACAGGGTTACACAGAGTTATCCGGTTCATGATAGGTGTTTGGCCATAAATTGACAAAGTTTACTACGAAGAAATATGTCGGTATGAATCAATCAACAATTTGGTCAATTTACACAAAATAGAGAACGATTTGTAACTTGTGTATAAATGTAGTGATTAGTATTGACGAATGATTCATTATAGAGCGATGACGAATATTGTACTTATTTGGTAATTTAAACCTCTGATTATGTCTGATAGATCAGACTGTAATATGACGTACATTGTAACATGTTTGTCATGTTCTGATGTTAGATGGTTGGCTTGCTTTGGCATTCTATCTGACATAGAGTTGAGTGGTCTGTCGTATCATTCAACAGACATCCCGTCAATCAGGTTTGATAACCTTAATTCCAACTAGTTATCTTCTCAAGTTTTATTATCTTTATGCGTCCTATTATACCCGTCAACTATCTTGTTGACCACTGGCAATATGACTATTTGACATTTACCTAGTAGATGGATAATCTGAATCTATATAGATGTGATTCATGATTGCGAGTTGATTTAAGTACTAACCTTCTTGGAATTAAAAGGATTTATCCGGAAAACAGTTATGATATTTTCCGAATCGAAATTTCTACCCGTATTTGTCAGGATCGATTGATATACTTGATCGTGTATTGTTTATGTTCACTGATAACCAACGTTTGTGTATTTGTATAGCACGGAAGTGCCACTCTTGATCATTATGGTTGTTCTTGAAGTTTACATAAATTGTTTTGTATTTATTCGCTGCTGTGTCTTTGAGTTTGCAAAAAGTGGTATAAAGTGATTATTTTGGCTTTTGAGTATTGGTGATTCCACAGTGTTATGAAACTGTGATGGCGAATTCTGGAACTTATTTCGTATGTTAAAGAAAGATCTGGTTTCAGCTTGTTGATTTTATGACGGTTTGTTTATTCGGTAAATGCTTTTTGATGAATTTGTGCCAGTATACATTCCTACACAGGACGGATGTGAGATGAGTTACTTCAACCTATTGTGTATTGAGAATGGTGCAATGGATTTCGGTTTAGGTGTGACGCATCTTTCACAAACCTCATCTAATGAACCGTTTGTTTTACTGCAGTTGAAACTTGATATTTGTTCAGCGTGGTCAACCTTTCACTATGCTGGAATTTTCACTCTCCTTACTGAATAAAACCCTCTTCTCTCATATATTTGTATTGTCAGAGATTTCGTTGTGCAAATAATAAGTATTTCTGAGTTAATCTCACTTGAGGATAATGCATGCATGAAATATAAGACGTATTCGAATCTTAAGTTGGTTGTTACAAATGAATAAAGCAATGTTTGCAAGAGTTTGTATCGTTCCGTTTTTGTTGTTATTGTTGTTGTTGTTGTTTAAAGTCTGCAATTGATCAGTCTCTATTGACATCTATGCACTCTAGGCTTCTTCCTCCGTATTGCAAGTTTGAAAAAGTATAAACTCAGTAGCTCAGTAAATAGTAGTCTGATATTCGAAGTGGGAAGGCTTAGAGTATCCATCGGTATTAAGATAATACATAGTTTCGTATATAGTGTGAGAGTTGAAGATTCTCCACTATAATTACATGTAAATAGTTATTTCAGTAGAAATGTATTTACTATAGATTTCATGAGTAGGTTACTCTATGAACTGAACACACAAGAAGTCACTCAATTCATTCGCCTCATTAAACCTGACACTCACTATACATCGATATTCGCACATTCGCAATTATACAGTCAAGCTAGAGTTTACAGAACAATTGAATTTGAATTAAATGCTTACTATATTTTATTACCGAAGTGACTTTCCAGTATGCTCAGTAATCAATCCCTTCAAATTGTGAAGTAAGTAGGAAGTTGAAAACGGAATGAAAATATCGTTTTGGAGGGGGGAAATATGAATAACTCCGATCATGTTTTACTCTATCTGTGGTCCCAATATGATAGTTTAAACAACAATGATGACAGTGAATAGTTGAGTTACATAAGAAAAACAACTAAGACCACCTAGATCATCATTCTCATCTTGTTGTAAGTGAAAAGAGTTTGTTACGTTCTGGCTGGCTTCATATTCTATTTACAGATCCGTTGGAGATAAAATCGAAAGAAGAAAGAAACAACTCTGGCTTTCGTCACATTGATTTCTCTTACTTGGATGCATTTGTTGATTGGAATTGATCGAACAGAGAAGTATGTTAATTTATTTATGAAATTAATGGGTTATTATTTGTAAGCGATAAAGGAAATATGTGTTCGACATTTAAATGAAGTTGTCAGTAGTTACATTTGTATCCCGTTGAATGTTCTGTTCACTCAACATACAACATATTTGAGGTATCTTTCTCTATAGAAACAAAATATTAAATCAAGAGAGGTTTGTGTTCGTGCTTAAACGACATCTGTGTCGGATGATGATTAGGGAGATAAATTTATTCCATTCTGCACTTACAAGAGTCAGACGAATATTCTGTGAAGACAAAATTGTTGATGAGCTGAATAGAATCAGTCGAATAGTTCACGAGAATGGCTTCCAACCCATGTCTACTGACATGAATTTGATACTTTAAATAGTATGAAATATCACCCTTCTATCTGTAGACCGTTGTTGCTACCTTGACGTGGTGGTCGGGCTTGCCTATCATGATGAAGCAACTGAGCTATACTGGCTGGAACAACCGTTCCTCAAGGTCCTACCATGCCAGACAGGTCGGTTAAAGAGCGGTAAGACTAAAAGCAACAATACCAAGGTCCGAAGGCGAAGTCGTACTGCTGACTGTACAGAGGTGTGACGGCAGTAAGGTGTTTCCCTCAGACAACCAGCATAACAGCGATGCTGCCTTCCCAATAGGAGGGGAGGGGTTAGAAAAGGTCGACCCTAAAAATTCACACCTCGCCTTATCCCTTGGATATCCGTCTCCGGCGGTAAGGTCCCAACAAGTACGGAGCTAACACAAAAATTACTCATAAAAAGGTCGTGTGTGACCGACCTCAAGCAGCTGTCTCTTGGGCACTGCGGTCACGCTCTCAGGTCACTATGACCACCTCTAATCCAATTTCCTCTTCAGGTACCTCCAGCAGAACCCTTCCACGGTGTGAGCGACCGGGAAGTGATAATCGCCTTCATACCTCTAACAGCACTCAAGACCACTCTATTCATAGTCAACCTCCCTCTTCAATTCCTATTATTCCTCCTACATTGACTTTCAAACCTAAACTTCCTCTTTCGGCTTCCTCCTCAAGTGTCACCACAGCCAACGATTCTTGTACGCAAAACACTGTCCCAGGTCTACTGAAACCTCGCTCCAAACTACACATTTTAGCTTCCAAAGTACGCACACTATGCCAAATCGGTCAGCAGGCTTCCTTGGCTAAAACCTTAGAATCTCGTACCATTGATGTATGCTGTGTTTCTGAAACACACATACAGGATCCTAGCGTGGTCATTCACTTGACCTCACCTCGGCAAAACGGAGAGCCAACGAGATACACCGTCCGTGTATCTGGCGACCGGATGGCTAGTTCTCGTTGACTGGCAGGTGTAAGCATAGCACTAGGCATGAGGGCGGAACAAGCGCTATTAGAGTGGATCCCCGTTAACAGTCGTCTATGCGCTGTTCGGCTAAACGGCTCCGTAAGAACTCGAAAGGATAGGGACACACGTCGTTGCCTTTTCGTCGTTTCTGCCTACGCTCCCACTGACTGCAGTTCGGATGAAGTGAAAGATGAATTTTACAGAAAGCTGTCTGAACTTCTTCAGAAAGCTAAACGTTCAGACATAGTACTCGTAGCAGGTGACTTTAATGCCCAGGTAGGTAGCTTAAACGAAACAGAAAGACATTTAGGTGGGTATTTTAGTATTCCGGCACAGAGAACAGATAATGGTGATCGTCTGCTGCAACTTTGCTCAGACAATCGTTTATTTTTAGCAAACAGAAATTTTAAGCATAAGGAGAGACATCGTCTAACATGGCGACCCACTACACCAAACCAACGGTGTACTCAAAAAGACCATATTGCCATCAGTCATCGTTGGAGAGGGTTGATAGAAGATTGTCGCTCATTCTGGAGTACCTGCTTGGACTCCGACCATGCCCTAGTACGAGCACGCATCTGCTTGCGCCTCACTGGACGCTAAAAAGCCACACAAAAAAGACTCATTAGA